GACCAAAAAAAAAAAAAAAAAAAAAAACCTTCTAAAAAAAAAAAAAAAAAAAAAAAAAAAACGATGGCAGAGCGTTGATGCATGACAAGCGCACTTGAGATTGCAATGCATTCCCTGGTGCAAATTGGTTCCCCATAGACGCTGTGTCATACACACTGTGCATACTCTGTATACAAATATAAATTTGGTTCATCTGCTGGGGGAAAAGCATCAGGGGAAAATATTTATTCCCTTCAGTCTAAAAAAAAAAAAAAAAAAAAAAAAAACGATGGCAGAGCGTTGATGCATGACAAGCGCACTTGAGATTGCAATGCATTCCCTGGTGCAAATTGGTTCCCCATAGACGCTGTGTCATACACACTGTGCATACTCTGTATACAAATATAAATTTGGTTCATCTGCTGGGGGAAAAGCATCAGGGGAAAATATTTATTCCCTTCAGTCAGTATGTGGCTCTGCTACTATGATATTAGGTTTGAAGACGAGATATGATCATGTGAGTCAAGTTAAAGCAGATTTTGTAGTCAAGGCAATGCCAAATTTTAAAGTACATTTAAAATGGTGGACAATATTTCAGGTTTAGCATATGCTCCAAGAAACTTTTTTGTAGCTCTAGCAGTAAAATAAACGATAAAAGTTTTGTTGCTCTAGATGTTAAAAGCCTCTAGGGGGTGCTAGTGAGCCATTTAAAAAAAAAATTGCACAATAAACTCAAAATATTGCTGGTTTGGGGGAGGTCTGATGTGTGCGCAAAGTTTCATGAGGTTTTGTGAATGTGAAGACCCTGGAAATCAGGGTTGTTTTATTGACAAACATCATTGCCATGGCAACAGTGTTTCGTGAAAATTGCCAACCTTTGGGGTGCAACATCAGGAAGGCTTAAATACTCTGCCAAGCAAATATGAAGTAAATCTTGTTAATCTGCTGGGAGAAAAACATCAAATCATCAAACATTTCCTCTAATCAGTAGTCTCGGGGTGCGACATATGCCTGCCAATATCCATAAGCCTTGGTCAAACGTACCGGGATTGCTTGGACTTTTTCACTGTTGGTGGTGCTACAAAGCCATTTTGTTTGCATTGTTTATGGCAGCTTTAAAGTGTCACTTTACTATGTACTACACCTCCAGGGGCGTGTCTTGGTTCTCTTTCACGCCGCCCTTCCCACTTTAGCGTCTGCATGCTGTCCTCAGTTACATCAGCCTTTCCTCTATATTAGCAGCGTGTCTTCACAACATCAGTCAGTCCGCATTTTTGGATGCCCTGTCCATTTGGGAGAAAATTAAAGACTTAATTGTGCCTTGTGGTTGTGAAAATACGGTGATGGAAAAGCGCCTTTTGACTTTCTGTCCCTTACCCAATGTTCCTTGAGGCAACAAATGTTCTGCTTTTTTGACCTCAGTTCAACATAATCTGAGTAGGGATACATGTACCGAAACAACAGCCTGATTACACCCTTAATAAATGTACCGTATTGGCCCGAATATAAGGCGGCCCTGATTATAAGACGGCCCCCTCTTTTTCAAGACTCAAGTTTGAAAAAAGACTTTTTGAACACCAAATAAATTTTTACACAGAAAATAATTACAGTACATCTGAAACAAATGATTATAACAATATATTTGAGAGAAAAAGCATGTTATTTTGCCTCATTCAAATCTTAATATCTGAACATTTAAATATGTAAACTAAAGTGCAATCACATTCATAAATGAATGGCTTCTGGTTTTTGAAATGTAAATTATATCATAACTTCTCCTCAGCTGCCGGTTAACCTGGCCGATCTTCGACCCACTTTTCTCCAGAGTGTCGCTACGTTTCTCCATTTTCTGTTCTCTTCTATTATTTTCTTCTCTTTTCTTTCTTACCGCTATTTTTTATTTTTCTTCTTCGTGCTACAGCTATTTTTATTTTTATTCTTCGTGACAGGGGTTCACTTTGGCCTGGGGAGTCAAGTTCAGCATTCGCTTCAAGGATATCTGGCGGCATCTAGCGTCGTGAATGGGTATAATGTCTAACCCCGAATATAAGACGACCCCCACTTTTTCAGTCTTATTTCAATGCAAAAAACACCGTCTTATATTCGGGCCAAAACGGTATCTACCTGCCTGTCTGTGTCTTGATCCTAAATGAATCTATCTGTTTGGTACAGTGGTGCTGACCTGACTGCATTGGTGAGGGAAGCATCAGTAAATGCTCTGAAGCCCTACCTGAAGTCCAGCTGTTTCCAACCTTCTTCCTCAGGTAACTTAAATCTTGTTTATTCTCTTTTATAATGGCATTTGTCAAACCACCAACATGCTGAGAAGACCAACTTAAAAACAAAATCTTCCCAAATTTAGTAATATACGTACATCAGTGCCGTGATAGTCTATTATTTTGAAGTTTGTGGCAGCACTTGGGGGCTGACTGGACTCATCTTCCTGACTGAAAGTTTGAGCCCAGTTTAAGTTTAAAGTGCCATCACATACTATTGCCACCAACACCAACATGTCATCCTGACATCGTGTTCAATTGCTAATCATTCAGTCATTCATTTTCCGATCCACTTTGTCCTCACAAGGGTCGCGGGGGGTGCTGGAGCCTATCCCAGCCACCTTCGGGGAGTAGGCAGGGGACACCCTGAACCGGTTGCCAGCCAATCGCAGGCCACACACAGACGAAAAACCATCTGCACTCACACTCACACCAAGGGACAATTAAGAGCAGAGGTGTCCAAAGTCGGTCCTCAAGGGCCGCCGTCCTGCCTGTTTTCCACCTCTCCCGGGAGCAACGCACCTGATTCAAATCATCAGGATGCTTCTAATGCTGCTTCAGAGCTGGCCGATGATCTGATCACCCAAATCAGGTGTGTTGCGGCTGGGAGAGTTGGAAAAAAGGCAGGACGGCGGCCCTCCAGGCCCGGAGCTGGACATGCCTGATTAAGAGTATTCAATCAGCCTGCTATGCATGTTTTTCGAATGTGGGAGGAAACCGGAGTACCCGGAGAAAACCCACGCAGGCCCGGGGAGAGCATGCAAAGTCCACACAGGAAGGCCAGAGCCGGGATCTAACCCACGACCTCTGCACTGTGAGGTCAACGCGCTAACCACTTGACCACCGGGCCGCCCCAATTGCTAATCAAGGAACCAAAAAAAAACCCCCAAAAACAAACAAAAAAAAAACCTCTAACTCCACTGACATTGTAGAATGCGGTGTCTGTTTCCAGTGTTAGCAAGTAATGGCTAGCTGCTAGCCGTCTGACTACTTTTCACAAGCAATTCAATAAGCAAAAATGACAATGCACACTTCTGATGCTGACAGCCTGACACAGCTGCATTAAAAAGTATTTTATCCAAATACTTGATTATTTGATAGAATTTTCAGTCGGGTGTCCAAATACTGAAACATTCGAATTTGTCAGTGCTTACAATGGAGAAAATAAGGAACAAGAAATGCAAACTTGTGGGTGATTTTGTTTCATACAGGTAACACATTCTCCCCTGGACCTGTCGCTGATATCAGAGTGAGCAAAAAGAATGTGGAAGAGGCCTTCGGAAAGATTAGACCATCCGTGTCAAAAAAGGTAAACTTAAAAGTAGAATTGGCTCACTTGGCTGTATGTCTTGCAGTTGAAATAGTTCTTATTCATCCCTTTGTGGCAATTTCACTCCCAGCAAGGAGGTTGTGTCCCCCACTATGAATCATTCCTTAGATTTTTTTATTAATCATTCTAATCTGGGCGTCATTATACATGGATGCAAAACATTACAGTTTGAAACCCCCAGCAACACAAATTAATTATAGCAGGGATCAGTCAATTCTGGCAAGGAAAACCATGGAATGCCTATTTAAAGTGTCAAAAGCACAAAAGGGAATGGTTGGGGAAACTACCATACGTTCTCCAGAACTGTGATGGAAGTATGGCGATGCTCCAATGTTTCCAACTCTCACTGGAGCAGGTCGCAGCTGAGTGTGAAGCAGCTGGGATGGCAATCAGCACTTCCATATCTGAGACCATGGTCCTCAGTCGGAAAAAGGTGGTGTGCCCTCTCCAGGTCACGGATGAGATCTTGCCCCAAGTGGAGGAGTTTAAGTATCTTGGGGTCTTCTTCATGAGTGAGGGTGGAATGGAGCCTGAGATCAACAGGCAGATCGGTGTAGCGTCTGCTGTGATGCGGACTCTGCATCGGTCTGTCATGGATTTTTTTACCAGTCAATCTACATTCCTATTCTCACCTATGGTCATAAACTGTGGGTCGTGACCCCCCACACCCCCAAAAAAATCCCAGAAATGGAAGCGCCCAAAATGAGTTTCTTTCACAGGGTGTTTGAGCTCTCCCTTAGAGATAGGGTGAAAGGCTCGGTCATTCAGGAGGGACTTGGAGTCGAGCCGCTACTCCTCCACATTGAGAAGAGCTCGATGAGGTGGCTCGGGCATCTGATTAGGATGGCTCTTGGACGCCTCCCTGGTGAAGTGTTTCGCGAACGACCCAGGACACACTGGAGAGATTATGTCTCCCGCGAATACCTTGTGATCTGTCCGGAGGAGTTGGAAGATGTGGCTGGGGAGAGGGAAGTGGCTTCCCTGCTAAAGCTACTATCTCTGTGACCTGACCCTGGCCGGATAAGCGGTAGAAAATAGTATGGTATGGTTTAAAATGCCCAACCCTAATCCCACTTCGCATTGTGGCCAATGGATTGTACCGCATGGTAAAATCCAATTCAAGTGTCTTGCACACCTACTCCTGTGCTCATGTGCTCTTATTCTTCTCCTTTTTCTTCTTCTTTCTTCTCCTTCTTTTTCTTCTTTTGCATCTTTTTGGTTCATTTGTGGATTGCAGCTCTTTGGTGCATACCGTCACCTATTGTACAAGAACCACAAAGTGTGTTCATATATAGTCAACGGAAGCAACCCTGCTTAGATTCAGCCCCATGAACAAACACACGAGACAGGTGGGTTTGTGTAAACAGGATGGAGATCCATCAGTGACAGACTGAGAGATCCGTCGGTACTTGACACAGTTCGTGCCACCTCTGTCAGTGCTTAGTCAGTTTTTTTTCCCCCGTCATTCATCAATAGTCAGCTAAACGGGTGTCTGTCAGAGATGGACTGACACACTTTTCATCAGTTCTGACAGACTGCCCACCGCTGTACATCAGTCAGTACCTCGTCCACCAACTCTTCCCATCTGTACTGCCAGATGCTCTGTTGAGAGAGAGCGCTCCTTTTTTGGGTGCACGCTGAATAACCAAATGGCACATTTGAATGATGTGAGTTTCTAAACTGTTCAAGTGAAGCGTTCTGTACTTTGATCTTATTTCCGAACAATAAATTAATTACATTTATAATTTAAAAAAAAAATAAGAATTTGTTTTATGAGCAGGTTAGTGTTTTTACTGCTTTTTCGGTTTTATTATTTTTAGTATTTGTTTTAGTTGGGGTTTTTTTTGTTTGTTTGTTTTTTTTTAAGTACGGTGTATTTCCTGCATGCAAGATTAAATAAAGTCACATGAAGGATTGTGGCATTAAAAACAAAAAAACATTTTAATCATCCACACATCAAATACACATAAATAATCCAGCGACTACGAAGTACAATATTAACAGTATTGTGAATGTAAAATGGAGTTTCAATTTTCAATTCAATTTTCAATTCAAACACTCATTTTCATTTTATTTTGGAAAAAAAGGTGGCGTGGGGGTTCAGATTTAGTTTCATTATTTCATTTGTTTTTGCTAACTGCCTCCATTCTTTCGGAGCACCTGCCATAGAATTGTTTGAGGAACACATTCAAAGGCCTTCTCCACAAAACGTACGCATACAGGTTGGCCAAACTCCACTGCACCTTTGAGGACCTTGCTGAGAGTGTAGAGCTGGTTCCATGGCCACAACAAACACCACTTTGTGATGGACCCTTCTCCTCTCGAGCACTCAGGAATATACTTTGCCAAGGAGGGTGAGGTGTGTGATCCCCTGTATTTGGAATACACCCTCCAGTCCCTGGTCTACCAATCCAGAGGCACTGTCTCCGATATCCACACGATGGTACAGAAGCCCGTCAACCATGACAGACTTTAGCAACTGCGGGCAGCTGTCAACTAGAATTTCCATAAAGCCATTCGGAAGTTGTTCTCCATGGCCTTACAAGCTCCAACGCCGGAGTTTTTGCCTCAGTGATGTGCATTGATGTTGCATTCTCTTTGGCCTGCCAGTCCCCATCAACTGCCTCCAGAGTCCCACAGGGCCCGGACAACAACTTCTTCAACTTCACGGCATCCCTCACTGCTGCTGACCACTAACGGGTTCCTCCCAATTACCCTTCCAGGTCTCACTGTAATTAGAACGAGGGAGTTCCCTTGGATCAGGAGTATCCAAACTTGGTCCTCAAGGGCCAATGTCCTGAATCAGTTGTTTTCCAGCAGGAAGAGATGGAAAACAGGCAGGACTGGAGCCTATCCGAGCTTACTTTAGGCGAAAGGCAGCCTACACTCTGGACTTGGTGCCAGTTAGTTGCAGGGCACACGAATAGGAATGACGATTCACTGCACTGCACTACACCACACCACCACTAAAGTTTCAGTGCCTTCGGTTTGTTTGTATTTATTCAAATGATCTATGAAAATGACTAATGTTTGTTTGAGAGCAACATTGGGCTGAAGTCCTTAAGAAATATGATGCGACATGCATTGACTACATGTTTATTTCTTTGCAGGACCAGATGATGTATGAGCAGCTGAAAGTGTCCCTGAGAGGATAAGCGCAAGACCAAAATGAAAAAGGATTACCAGTAGCAGGCTGACTCTACATCCATCATTAATTATGAAATGCTGGATCCACCTTTGTCAAGGCTTGTTGTATGACAATAAAGTCATTTGTACCTTAGATTTGGTCGTCAAGCCCAAAGTGATGTATATCAGGACGTAGGACAATGCAACGATATGAAGCAGTGATGATCAGTTTCTGTCACAAGGTTAAAGTGCTCTCTTACACAATCGAACCTCTGCCATTATTGAACCATTTATTCCCCCAACCATAACCTACCTGGGGAGATCACCAGTGCATCCCAGGTTGCCTCTGGAATCCTCTCCCACTCCTGTTTCATTATGCCCCTCAGATGCTCAAGAGGGTTTAGGTATGGAGACCAGCTTGGCCATATCTGTCCGGCATGGCCCATTTTTTACTCAAAAACTATGTATTTTTTGATCAGGAGAATAATATTAGCTTGCATTTTCAATTTTAGCAATTTGTTATGGAGAAATCAGTAAAAAACTAAGTACTGTCAAAATTCCCCTTTCTAGTCAGCAATACAGCCATGCCCACCACCCCTTCTTCTCATGTCTTGGTGTGAGTCAGCAGAGGAACTAGACACGATTTGTCCCATTCAAGATCATTGTACATACAAAAACAGTGATCAATTGGCACCCAAATTTATGTGGCCCTCTCTGCTTATGCCCACTTCGACTTCTGAAAATATCACAAGGATTACCGTCTCCATGCCTCACTTTATAAGAGGACTAGGAAATTAGTAATTTAGTTTTTTTCATGACACTCCCCAAGATAGCAACACAATGCATTCAATGAGGCTTTTCATTGGTCCTTATATATTACATTTCAATCTCTCATGGTTACATTTTTTTTTCCAAGCCCACCTCCAGGGGACACGCCCTCCGCTGAAAATGAGGTGCCCTAAACAGCCACACTCGATTGGAGGGTCGCCCCCCCCGCTCCAAATTTTTGAAAGTCCGTACATTCATCCACCCATTTTCTTCACCGCATATGGTCACAAGGGTCACGCTCAAGGCGTGCTAGACTTTTTTCAAAGTAAATTTTAAAATTTCGCCAAGCCAACCTAAGGTGGTTGTTACGCAGCTGCATATCCCAAACTGACGCTGTCGAACCTGATACTTGCACCGCAACGCGGAGCTGGATCTCTGGTCAGACAGAATTGGCGTTCCACCCGGTGTTGCTGCATGAACGGTGGCAGACCATGATGTGGAGCTCTTTGGCTGCCAGAGTGGCAGAGTTCGCATCTTGGAGCTCTGGTAAAGCAGGAGATGGCAGGCAGAGTTCCTCTGATCCGTGGAGAGGCCGGCGTCCGCAATATAGAGCTCTGGTAAGAGAGCGACCGTGACATTTTTGTTTCCAGAGGGAACACCGGCCCATGATCAGATCATCAGCCAGCTGTGAACCAGCATCAGAACGATCCTGATTATTTGAATTTCTCAGCAGCACCTAGAAACCATCCAACCAAAATATTCCATGCCTTCGCCTGACCTGAAAAAGTCTCTTGGAGCCTCCGCTAAAGCTAACAGGAAGTCTCCCATTTTGCCTGATTTTGAGGGTCGGAACATTCAGGAAAATATATGTAACTTTGCACACACATCAGGCCTGGAAAAATATTTTATTAGTTTATCTTGCATTTTTTTACAAAGCAAGTTTATTTCAAGAACACATTTCATGTACAACACAATTCAAAGTGCTTTACATAAAACAAAATCACTTGCAGAAATAGGAACATATTAAGACATGACAAACATCACCAATTAGAACAATTTGAATGAAATGATTCAAAGCAAGTATCAGGCTGGATAAATTAAAAGCGCAAATGGGGATTAAAACAAGAGAATAACAGATGGATTCATCATCATATTTTCAACCCTGATTTGAAATGAACTGACAGTTTGAGTACCGGTGGACTTCAGGTATTTCGGGTGTTTGTTCCACAGACGAGGAGCATACTAACTCAATCCTGCATCCCTTTGCTCGGTTCTGGGAACACACAAGAGACCCTTCCGAGACAACCTGAGGGGCCTGGATGCTTCGTTGAGTACTAGTACATCTTGCATATATTTTGGACCAAGACCATTTCGACATTCATAGACAAGCAGCAAGCTTTTAAAATCTATTCTGTGCATCTATTCAGTGCAGTGATTTGGTGTGATGTGGTCCAATTTCCTGGTCTTTGTTAGGACTCTGACAGCAGGATTTGTATCAACTGCAGCTACCTGATTGATTTTTGTATCAAGACCTGTAAAGATACCATTACAGTAATCTAGCCTACTGAAAATAAAAGCATGAACACATTTTTCTGTGTCTGCTTGAACCAGAAGGCCCTTTATTCCAGCTCTTTTTGTCAGCGGGTAGATTTAGTAATGGCTTTTAAGTGGTTGTTAAAATTTAAGGCTTGAGTCAATAACTACAACAAGATTAATTTGTAGCGTTCACTGACAGAGTTAAGGTGAGCGCCGATCTGTCAATTTTGCAGCGAAAAACTAACTTCTGTATTCTGGATTGAGCTGGAGAAAATTCTGTTTCATCCACTAAATAATGAAGGGACGACAGTCATGTGATGACGCTGGAATGTAAAGTTGCCCTTCAATAAAAAAGTTAAGATCGTGAAAGTAATGTCAGCCCACATATAAAACAACACATTACAACCATCAACAGAGGAATGAAAATCGTACTTTATGAGATTTTGAAATCCTATTCCAATGAAATTGTGTAAAATGTAAATAACAACACATCCACCCATGTATCCATTTCCTAATCCGCTTATCCACACGAGGGTTGCGGGTGCACCAAAGCCTATCCCAGCTGTCTCCGAGCAGTACGCGGGGGACACTGAACTGACTGCCAGTCAATCGCAGGGCACAGTGATTTTGTCTAACACTGGAATTTTTTGTGTGTCTTTCTGCCGTTATCATCAAAATTGAAACAAATAAGAGGCTCGAAATATAATGTCACTTTTTGAAAAAAAATCTTTAAAATAAATGGACTTTTCCGATTCCAATTCTCTTGACACTTACCTATATGTCAACAAAAAAACCCAGAAACATCCCCAGCTTCTCTGGACCTGTGCTTATCTGTGATGGACTGAGGCATAGTGAAAAATGATGCCATTAATGCTGAAATGTACTCAACAGCGTTTGGAGCAACAAATTGCAGCCATCCAAGCAACATCTTTTTCTGAGATGTCCCTGGTTATTTTAGCAAGACATTGCGAAGCCATATTCTGGATGGGTTACAACAGCATGGCTTTGTAGTAAATGACCAGCCAGTAATCCAGACCCATCTCCCACAGAAAATATGTGGCGCATTATGAAGGGACAAATTCTGACAAATGAGAACATGGACTGTTGGACATCAAGCAAGAATGGAAAAGGATCCCACCCGCAAAACCTAAATACAGTGTTCCCTCACTTTCGCATTTAATGGGGATCGGGACCCGGTCGCGATAAATGAAAAACCGCGAAGGAGGGTTTGCTCCCCCCCCCCCCCGCCCCCCAAGGAATTTTTGTGTCAGTTTATGTGGGTACCAGTATGTTTAAGATATGTAAAGAGTGATTATATTTTACATATTTGAGACCAAGACTACAGCAGTACACGTATTTACTTAAATCTAAAATTATAAAACCTTATGCGGTAATTAACATTCATCAGCATTGCCTTCTGAGTCTGTGTCTTATCATAAACACAACGTGTTTATGATAAGACAATTAATCGGTATAGATGAGGAGGAGGCTTAGAGAGACGTGCTGCTTTTTTCGGACAAGAGCAATCACCCGCTCTATTTCCTATTTCTCTCTCTCTCTCTCTCTCTCTCTCTCTCCCTCCCTCCCTCCCTCCGCCACTATTGTAGCAAACACAACAGAAGAGAGTATGCCAGAGAGAGGCAGGCGAACGTTTAGAGTCAACAGCGTGACGAGACACAAGGGAAGGTGCTGGGCGGGGCTGCGAAGATGCACCGCCAGTCAGCTCACGGGATAAATCCAACCGTGCTGTCGACGTCGCGCCGGGAACCAATCATACGTACAGGAATGTACAAAATCTGTGTCATTCTGCATATTTTTTCTCAATACAATACTTTGGGGGAAGAAAAAAACCAACAAAAAACGCCATGTGCTGAAGCCGCGATAAATGAAGCGCGATATAGCGAGGGACCATTGTAGTTACTGTCTTCAGTTTCCAAACACACATTGCGTTTTGTTAAAAGGAAAGGTTACGAGGGAGGTACACGGCTATTTTTTTTAGAAAGTAATGTAGGTATAAAATTAGAAATAAGTGAATATCTGCAAAAAAAAACCCCTCAGTTTCAACATTACATATATTTGTAGTGTATTCATTTGAAGATAAGTTGAAGTATTTGCAAATCATTGTACTGTTTTGGATTCTGTTTCGCATAACATCCCAATTTAATTGGAAATTGAGTTTGCGTACAGTCGATGATAGTACAGGTTGGACAGGGTCCATTTTTCTTTGATGCTGTAAAACCTAACCGTATAATATAATACAGAAAGAATGCAATTATTCTCAATACTGAACCAGAGAGAATACACTGTATGGTTTCAGTCTGTCACTACCTTTCAGTTCAGTCAGTTCAATGACGACCATGCAACCTTGAATTTCTGCATGTTGTTTCTTCATTAGTTCACAAGCTGCGAAGAGAGTACCTAGAGAATAAGAAAAGAAAATTCAACATAAGATACAAAATAAGATCTGTCAACGGATTCATATAGCATACAGACGGTATTGGAAAGTTGATGTCACGACTGTTGTGGGGTAATATTTTAGTATGCTCGGCTTAGCATGAACCTTTTGCTCACCAGCCACCGAGGCTAGTGGTTTCCAGGTTTGATCAATTTTGCGCACCTTTCATGTCACTCAGGGGTTATAACAACAAGATAAAATGAATTATTAAAAGATGAGCAAGAAAAAAATCTGTCCAAAACACATGACCCAGCCATCTCGTTACCTTTGCGTCCCACGTACTAGACGCATAATTTTCCCTCGGGGCGCACAGTTCCAAATAATGTGCGTTTTTGGAACACAAGGAAATTTCTCAGTCAAAAAAAAAAAAAAAAAACTACGGCAGGCCTGAGGATTTCACGGTAACGATCGTTACCGGTAGCGTGTCATTTTAACGGTACCAAAAAATCGTTTAACCATAAAAGTCACCGCACACGAGTTGACTGTATGCGATCAAGTCTCTCCTGTGTGATCAACGCGATTTCACTGTGTCTGTATGTGTGTTTGTGGTGTGGTGGGTGAGTGTGTTTCTTCTAATTTACTTTCGTTTTGTTTTGTTTTCAGTGTTGGGGGGCGGAACAGAAAACGTTATGTGCGCATGCGGGTTGCTATTTTAGTCCG